ATGCATCAGTCCCGAGATTGATTTTGAAAACACATTTTAAGGCATGGGTGGCAGGGGAGGGAAAGAAAAAAAAAAAAAAACCAAAACCAACACATTAGAAGGGCTTAGTCATGTCTTTTAAGGTTTAAAGGGATCAAATCAATCTATGAATCAAAGTCAAAATTTCCACACAAACTAGCCTTTACCCCGGACTATTTAACTTTCAAATCTCTAAATCTACACTATAACATAGTTCAAACTGAGACTGCTCAAGTCCCACTACATGACTGCCAGATTTCTGAATACCAGGACAGCCACCCCCATTTACCTCCCAATTAATCTGTTTTGAAACTAATGACTCATTTTTTCTTCACTGAATCTTAGATAATTACTTGATATTTAGTCACAGATTGTTAAAAGATTTGGGAGGGATAGGTTTATTTAATTTCTTCTTTTCTCAGATGTAATTTAAGTAACAATTATCAAAAGTATCTTAACTGGGAAAATGCTTAAACAGGAAGCTATGGGATCTTTTAATATACTACAATAGCATTTGAATATGAAATATTAACATTGATTAACTTTTAAACTTTCATTCTTCTCATGTTATATTAATATTTTAATAACAGAAAATAACAAGTTTCAGCCATTTTATCTTGATGTGCTATACATATGTAGTTTAGCCCATTAGTTAGAACACAAATTATGAGCTGAAATACCACATCAGCACTTTCTACAGCATATGAAACGAATTGCATTAATTTAAATGCTATGACTACTGCTACAACTGCAATTTCCCAAGACCCACTAGTAGATTTACAAGGGAAAAAACTTACTTTCATTAATTTTAATTCTTCTAAAAATGAGGTAAGAATGGTGCGTACTTTAAAAAAATCTTTATTATACATAACAGAAGTTGGGCAAGTGTTCCTATTTTACATTTGATAGAATTGTGTGTCTTCCCTTATTCTAAAGATTTTTCTCCTAACTAGATGCACCACTTGCTGAAGTCACAGGTTACTGTTTTCAGATCTGAAATCATATGACCTTTGCTCTGAACAGATTTCATTTTGGCCTCAAAGGTTAGAAAGAACAACATAGACTTTTCTAGACAGTATTCCTGTATCATCAGCAAATTAAATCAGTTTGAAAAGCTCCTTTGAGTCTAGACCTGAAGTCTTAAAATTAAGTATAACATCTATCAGAAAAAGTGGGTTCAGAGACTACTGCAGTTTAAAGATAATTCTGTATGTACTGTCAACTACTGAAGCTAAGACACATCAGCATAAGGAGTGAAAGACTCCTGCAGGGGCAGTTTTCTGAGAAAGCAAGCTTACGCTGCAGTTAGATCTCGATGTGCACCAATCCGTGCCTTGCACAGACTGGTTTCTTGTGCTTACTCATTTCGCTTGCAGCACCAAAACGATTTATACAACCATTCCTTTGCACACTTTTAAAACTTAGGCTCTGCACAAAAAAATACCATCTCAGATACTTTTTGTAGGGTACACCACTTTCCAACATCACGCAGTAGGAACTTCACCTAAATTCTCAAATAAAGATGAATTTCAAAGCTAGAAGAATATAAAGGGGAAGGCCATAAATACCTCTGTTATGATACCAAGATATTTAACAAATCCAACTGCAACTCTGTGAAGGCTAAAATGAACTGGAAACTGGCGTTTCTTTTGTTCTTTTACTTCAGTAACAGGAAGTGGTGAGCTGCAGACATTCACAGAGCAAGCCTGGTGACATGTGCTACCACTTCCTGCCAAGTACACTTGCATGGCTAAGTACAAGCAACGTTTTGGTTACAGTTAAATTTAAATTAACGCCATGTAAGACACTCAAAAGATTACAGCATTTCTAAAGTAATTAATGACAGAAAGTTTCCTTTATCAATAAGTTCTCTGACTGCACAGTGACACACTGGGATACAAAAGTCTGAAAAGATACTTGGGTCTAATAAAGAAGAGTCATTCATTAATCAGAATGTTTGACTACTAAGGGTCACACAGCTTTCAGAGTTTTAAAATGCAATGTGCAATGGCGTTTTCTCCAGCACGGAGAAAAAGCCCAGAAACATTTGGGCATCCATCTGAAGTTAAATTTTAGAAGCTTTTTGAAAACACAGACCCAGATCAATTCTTCAAATGCAAAGACTAAAGGATAACTATTTTTAACTGCTAACTGCCACACAAACGTCTGACACACTGGTGTCCACCTAGCAAGTCAATACGTATTAGACAGGGATACAAGAGCATCTGTTGCAGGTATCACAAACTTGCAGCCTGCAACAATAAAGTCCAATTTGAGACCCAAACTGCACGTTAGTAAGGGCTGTAATTGCTTGTATTTCCCTCACAGCGTGGGGTAAAAGTAACCAAGGGCTTATCGGTCTTCAAAATCCTTTTCAGATCCTTGCTAACTGCAGACCAGGGATGCATCCTCTCTCCCCACTTTACTAAGGGTATTTTCTCCCATAGCTTCCAACGAAACCCTGTGAAAGACTACACCAAGCAGAGAAATGTGCACATTAAGGAAAGGTGAGTGTCATCAATGCCACACGAACACTTACACAAAAAACCCTGAGCACTGTGTGCTGCTGTTATCTCCCTTGTATCGCTATGCAAAGCTAATAAAATTCACCAGCTAGGGTATACCACTGGCCAACATCACATAGCCAAATATCAGAGGCCAGGGAGACTGGCCTCACCTAGGCCTCTTCAGGATTAAGGCAAGAAGTCATGTTCTTCTTGTAACACCGAAAGCTCTTCTGCCACTACTATGTCACCTTCTACCACCCCACTCCCTAGTTACACGTTCCTGCTTATTCCAGCCAAACTAGGCAGCTTTTACCCATAATTATTACCCATAAAAATGCAATCATTTTAAGGCGACACTGGGAAATGTTCCAAAGAGCTACATGACAATATTAAAGATCCAGAACTGCCCAGCAGTTCATACTGAGAGGTTCCCTTTCCAGCTTCAGTACCAATGTTATTCTACTATGAACCTTAACAAAAGTAGTCTCATGCAATTCTTACAGGAATGTAAGAACAAAACGAGCAGGGATGCCAAAATAGTTCATTTTAGTACTTTAGTTTTTAGAACAGCAGCTTAGTCTCAGGGCACCACTGTTACTCTTTTGTTCTCCCCTCATCCTTGACTTTAACCCTGTAGTGGGAGCTAGTAGCTCAGCTTCTTCAGTGCTACCAAATCAGTTTCAGCTCGATCCTCACTACAGCTTTTCCCTCCACAGTACTTGGACTTCCACACAGTTGTCTTCTTTTAAACAAAATTTCTGTAGCAGCATAAAGAAACCCAGGAAACCAAACCAAAGTATTCTGGCTGGAGCAAGTAATCTGTTACAGCAGTACTATCAAATACTTCCTGAAGGTAAAGGTTTCTTTGGACTTCAGTCTGCTTAGCAAGAAGGTACTGAAAGGGCCATGTTCTTGAATAATACTAGTTGTGAAGGACAGACAGAAACAAACACATACAAATTAACGTAAAAAAAAAAAAACACAAACACAAACACTTAGTAGATGATTAAGCAGAAATAAAACATTTTTTTCCAATGGGATTTCCTGATAAAACAAACTTTGTGGCACTTACACCACTGGATAGAGATCACAAGAAAAAGAAATTAATTACAAGATGGGGAAATGAGTCAAGCTGCAAAGTCTCATTACGCTTTTGAGCAATACAGTATCAGAACAACTGAAACCCATGCATCAACTTTCAAGTTGGGCTTACTCCAACTTCACAGCATTTGTCTTTCCTATCCTACTGCATTTATATATGAAGTTGCGGAGGTCATGATTTTTATTTTCAACAAGCAAAGCTGGAAAGGGAGAAATTTTTGCAAATTCTTTAATGCAACAGTCTTCAAGATACACAATTTAGAAATCAGCATGCAGATTCATAACCTACCTTCAAAAAAAAAGTGAGAAGAGGCACATGACTGAAAATCAATATGCTTCACCTTCAGTCTGTTGAATTCTAGGAGACAATTACTTGGACAATACTTCTCCCTGCAGGCTTTCCTTCTCGTGAACACCAAGAGATCCAGCTTCAGAACTCGTAAGCAGTAGTACTTCTACAGCACAGCTGTAACAGCTGGTATTGTTCTGCTCATTCTCCAAAGGATGGGTTTCAATCTGAGAGCGCTATCACAAACTCCAAGATACTGCGGCAGTATGAGTTTCAGAATCAACTGCTGCCAGTCATTTGCTTTTCTTTACGCTTTGAGGAGTTATAAGCAATCGGTACCAAAGAACACAAGCGCTCACTCACACACTTTGCTCACCAGAGGATGATGGACATGCAGGTATCAGCGCTCACTCATGAGCTTTGCG